GCATAAAACTCTTGTAATTTTCAAATCTTTTTCAGAGCTTGTTGAGATTTCGAAATTTCCGAAAATTTTAAATGAAGTCCAAATTTGCTCCGTATTTCTTGGCGAAGAAGTTGCAAAGTGGAACAAACGCGGCAAGGCACATTTACATCAAGAAATTTTAATTAATTCTCATTGCAGAAGGGAAGGGAGACCGAAGCCGGCTTCAGTCGCGCGGACAAGGTCAAAATGACACCCTATAAGTGGAAACGGTTTATTTCTCCATAGACCATCTTCCCTTTGAAGCGCATATTATCCTGTGGATGAGATTGTTATTCTTGTTTTATTCTTATTCTTCCATTATTCTTTACTCTTCCATCAGTATGTCGGGTCCACATCAGCTGTCCCTCCTCTTGGAGCGGGTTGTAAAGCCCGCTGGAGGACAGTGACCCCCGACGACCGCGACCCGCAGGTTGCCCCTGCGGCCTCTTCCCCTTTTTCCCACTTTCCCCATATTTACCCTAAATAATAAATATTAGTAAATAAGACTTATGTACTCACCGCTACACATCAGGTAAAGGCAAGGCCAGCTTTTAACCTGACATGGAGGTCCCGGGGAGATTTGAATTTATCCCCCCCTATTTTCTTTCTAGCTTGAAAAAAATTTTTTTCTCTCTCTTCCTTTTACCCCTCTAATTTTTTTTAGAATTCTAAAAATTATTTTTGAAAAGAGAATTAATTTTCTCCTGGGCAAATTTATTCTCCCCCCCCCCTTCCGTCTTCGTCTCCAACGAACTGTCGACGGACACAAACGAACGGATTAGTGAGTATTTTTTTACACATATCGACACTGTTCTATTGAAAAGAATGTCTAATCGATTTCAATACTTTTCTTCTGCCGTACAGGTTGTTATAGGTGACACTTTATTGCCCAACGTTTCGGCACAACGCCGTCGTCAGAGGCTTAAAAAGAGTCAGTCACTTCGATTCATGATCTTAGCCGCCAAACATCTCCTCCCACTCGGCCATTCGAATGGTCTTTAGTGGAAGCAGGAAGTCTGCGAGTAGAGTTTGACTCACCAGAGTGCCACCGTGATTTGTAGCAGTATCAGCTGCTTTAGATGTGCTTGGACCGACTGCGGTGTTGAGTATAGACAGTCGTGTCAACTGACTGCGATGTTGAGAATAAGCCGTCGCGATGTCAACGAATTGCTTAAATAGGACAAATGATCTTATAGTTTGCAATATGTCAGATAAGCATTAGATCTCCAGTTATAGATAATTGTTCATTCTTGTTGTTGATCTTGGGGTCACGGACAAGAATGTAGGACGCTTCGAGGGCCTTTCTAGCGGAGATATGGTTTTCGTAGGCCAAAATTATGCACTTAATGTCGAAATCGGTACCGCTATGATCTATCTTTCTATGCTTTCCTAGCGGACTCATTACGTTCTGCCGCTTTTTGCTAGCCAAATGCTCGTTTACGCGCACGCACAGTGGTCTACCTGTTTCACCAATGTATATGGCAGAGCACGCTAAGCATTCTATTTGATACACAACGCCAGACTTCGAACAGTCTCCAGCTTTCCCATAAGGGCAGATTATGCAATTTCGCGTGACACAAGTCCTGTCATAAATTCGATTACGTACCAGTTGTGTTTTGATGTTGTCTCGGGGAATATTCACCAAGACAACTTCGTTCTCCAACTGTGCTCGTATCAAGCATTGTCTTATCGCAGTACTGACCTTTTCGGAGATGTAAGGGAGGCACAGAGGTATTTTGTTCATGTTCTGTTCACTCGCCTTTGCTGATGTTTTCTTTGTTCGTCTAGGGCGCATAGTATAATCATTTGCAGTCATTATTTCAGCTGCCATCCTCAGTGATTCTTGTTTTTCTTTTTCGCCGCTGCAGATGTTAACTGCCGTTTTGATCATATTCCGAATTATGGCGCGTTTCACGGCTGTCGGGTGCGCGGATTGTGCATGCAGAAGAATATTCTTACTGCTCTCTTTTCTGTACCATTTGACCTGTACCGTGTCGTTTACCACCATCAGCTGCGCATTTAGGAACGGTAGCCAACCGTTGCATGGCTTCTCCCGCGTGAAGGTTATGTACTGAGATTGTTGATTCAATAGTCTAAAACACTCGTCCATTTCGGACTGTGTTGAAGTAATGATACAACAATCGTCGATGTATCGACAGTACATAAGCGGGCTTCTCGATAGCACAGGTTGTTCAATTCTGCTCATGAAGCAGATTGCTAAGACGGGTGCCAATCGTTGGCCCATTGCCAAACCTCTAACTTGTGCATAGTGTTGGCCCGACCACTTGAAAATATTACAACGCAAACATTCCTTGATGAGTGTTATGACGCGTGCTTTGCTGAGAGTGTACATCGTTATAGTTTTACTATGCAGTTCCAACATCTCAGAAAGCGCTTGCAATGCGTCTTCATTGGATACATTGGTATACAATGAAGTTACGTCAAACGACTCAACTACGCATTCTTGACTGAAGTTTGTCTGACGCAGAAGCTCAAGAAAATGATTGGTATTGGTCAAATGGGCGGGTATCTTGTTTAGAAGTTGGCTCACGATTTTGTTAAGGAACCATGATATACGGTCGGTTGGACCGTTGACGCAGCTGATGATGGGCCGGATCTTGTAAGACGTGGCTGTGACGGATTGCATGTCAAATGGAGAGAGCTTATGTGTCTTAATTAGGCTATAAAATACAGGGCATGTGGGAGTTTCAAGCTTGAGTCTACTGAGGAACCTTTCAGGAAGACCAGCTTCTTTCCCTACCATCGTCCAGATATGGTTCAACCTCTTGCACTGTGAGAGAAATTCCCTTTCAGTTGCTGGTTGATAGACGGTGTTATCTGACAAGTGTTCTTTGGTAATCTCTCGATCCAGGCTTTGCGACATGACCACAAACTCGCCACCCTTGTCGCTGACTGAGAGGCGTATAGTGCCGTTGCTGGTCAGCTCTCTTATCTCTTTGAAGCCCCGTTGTTGCGCTTGCGTTAAGTTAGATCTTTTGATACCTCTGTTGTCATTCAACACATTCAGGATGCTGAGCGAGAGTATTCGGAACTTGGTGTCAGCTGCAATACACGGTTCTGGCTCTTTATAGAAAGAGGAAGGAAACGGTACTATGGGTAAAGTCCTTCGACTTAGGGTGTCGCAATATTGAGCTTGGTCGTCGCGCTTTAACTTAAGCCGAAGCTGGTCTCTTAAACGCTGAAGTGATCCCAACACGTTGCGGTATGTCTAATGAATGTCTAATCCTTTCAGAAATATGAAATATGTACAAAAATCACCTAATATTTGAAAAAAAAAAGTCCTGCGAACAGTCCCAAACGTCGATCTAAAAATTTCCTAAATCTAGATTTATAACTAATAAAATAATTTAATCCGAGAACCGAGACCCGAGAACCGAGATCCGAGAACTGAGAACCGAGAACCGAGATTTCGAATTTCTTTTACACCCCTTTCTTTCTGAAACCGGAAATTTTCAAAGTAACATCCATAATTTTTTTTTCTCTTTTCCCTTTCGAAACCGCAATTCTTTTTATTCTCTTCCTTCGTCATTATAAATATCATCCCCGCTATTTTTTCCCGAGAACCGAGATCCGAGATCCGAGATTCGAGAACCAAGAACCGAGATCCGAGATTTTCGAAAAGTTTTTATTTTTCTTTTTCTTCTGATTTTTTTTAGGTCTAAGTAATAATAAAAAATGGTAATTACGTTTCAGACAATGGACTTGTTCGCTTAGCTAGCTCAAAATTGAAGGCAGTGTCTCACCAAAGTTGAGGTCGCGGGGATCTTTACATATTCTATTATAGGGACCTCTAGATAGGCCATTGCAACAAGTCCCACTCAATTTGACCCCCTCTACGCTGAGAAAAATGCTCAAAGTGGTACGCGGAGAGCCAGTTGGTACGCGCGGACGACTCCTTCGGTCTCCCCCCTTACGCGTTTGAACATGTCCCTCCACTTGGCATCCACCTTCCCTCTGTTGCTGCCAGTGTGGCTAAGGCTGAAGTTGGAAGGTACAACTCGTCCACATTGCTTCCGCGGGGCCTCCAGAAAACGGGGTTTTTGGGAACTTCGTGCGATTTTAAGCCCATACAGTGCTAGACAGGGTCCGACAGGCTTGCAAAATGCAAAAATTTCGGTAATTAAATTTTGGTGAGACACTGCCTTTAAACCTAAGGTATACCTAAGCCCTACATGAATATTTTTATTTATGCTAGGCGCTTCAATTAATTAAATTGCTATTACATCCAGCTTGGAATGCTGACCTCCGGAAGAATTTAAACCGCGCAACTGTCCACACGCGCTTATCCCCCAGGAAATTTACGAACGCAACTGCTATCAACATTAAACAAAGCAATTAATATGGCGGCGCGCATCAACAAGGATTATTTACGACCCCCTAATATTTCCTAACGGCTGTGACCCCACCAACTGTGGCCTAAACTATAATTACAACAATATTTTCGGTACAATAAATTATACATTTGCAATAAGTAGTTTATTCGGAAAACACAGCGATAAATAATAAAATAAATTACGAATACTAATAAATCCGCTCGATGTATTTGTACTTCTTTCCGCGAGCCTTGCACGACTCTTTCAGAGAGTCGCAGTGCAGATTTTCCAACTGCACCTCGGAAATCCCCCCCCCCCAAATTCCTCAGTAGGAATTTGGCGAAATTTTCCGGCAGTGGAGCTGCTCGCCCATACTTCACCATCCGAAATGCGCCCATGTGCACCCGCACCCAGGGATGGTCCGCGCGCCATTGCTTGTCCGGGCGGTGGAGGTTGAACCTCTTTCTCTGGCCCGACCTCATAGGGGCTGAAAAAAAATTTTTTTTTATTGTTTGCCAAATTAAAAAAAAATTTTTTTGTGTTTTCCACTTGAAAAAAACAATAAGTAAACTAAAAAAAAAGCCACCGAAAAAGAACTCGTCCCGGTCGGTGGTCGCGCGGACCATGCCTTCGCCATGCGTGATGATCTCAATGAAGGTCTCCACCACGTTCCCCTTCTGGAGGCAGTGGTGGAGCAGCTCTTCCTCCTCCTCCGGGTGCAGGGCGCGGACCTTGGCCCTGTGCACTTCGAGGGCCCTGGGCAGCACCTCGTGCACTGCCCGCAGATCCCTCACCATGCGGGTGAGGTTCTAAATATACTTAATTGAAAAAAAAATTTTTTTCCTATATAAAGACGAATTTAAAAAAAATTTTTTTTTCTCCTAATTTGAATCAAAATTATTTTTTTTTCTAAAATAAACATACCCTCTCGTGTTGCTTGCACAGGGCCTGCGTCTCCTTCAGTTCGTTGGTGTGCAGGCCTCTGCTCCATTGCAAAGCATCCACCTGCCTCCTGGCGACGCTCAGCTCTCCTTCGAGCTGCTGGATTCTTTGCAGAGACTGAGTTGCATGCAACTCAGCCCTGACGGTGGCGTTGTATATCGCCACCGAGTCCACCGACGCTCTCCCAGAGGAAGGAGGACTAGAGGCCTCCACATCCTCTCCGAAGCATTCAGGCTGAAAAAGCATACAATAAAATAGAATCAAAGAAGATAAAATAAAATTATTTTAATCCTTTTCTTCCGATAAATCAAGATAGAAAAAAATGAGATAAAATAATCTTTTGCATTTTCTTTTCGAAAACCACACTACAGAAGAAAATAAAACGAAATGATTTTTTTTCTTCACTTTTAAAAGAATGAAATAATTTTTATTCTTCTCTTTCGATAAAACAAGATAATCTTGATTTCCTTTTTTTTTCCTTCTCTCTTTCGACGAATTAAAAAAACAATTTTTTTCCTCCTCCGAAAAGCATATAGTAAGAGAAAATGGAATAAGACGATTTTTTTACTCCTTCGATGAGATAAAATAATTCCTATTTTCCTTCTCTTTTTCTTTCAGTAAGATAGGAAAAAAATTAATAATTTTATTCTTTTTTTTTATTATTTCATTTTTTCCCCTCTCTTTCCCCAAGATACAGAAACAGGAAATAAAATAATAAATTCAATTTCTTTTCTTCCAATTTTTTTCTCTCCCTCTATATAGCAAAAACTAATGTAAAAATTAAAAACTTACGGAGAATGGACTGATGGATCGGCACAATTCCTCCAGCGTTGGGCTTGAGGAATTTCGTACGACTTCCCTTGCAGCTTCACGAGCTGCAAGTTCGGCCTGTCTTTCAGCATCATGAGAGGCAGAGCTGCTGGTTCCAGAAGTGAACATTTTTCGATGTTTGGAGGCTTGTTGAGGTAGCATCTGAAACAGGAAATAAAATAGGACGGCTAAAATCACAAACCTGAGCAGAGCATTTTTTGGAGCTGTTGACTGTAAGAGGAGCAGAAGTAAGTATGATGCCTAACTTATGCAATAATATTGGGCGTAAGGGTTGTAAATTTACATGTCACAGGGCTGTAAGTTTACCTTACCAGAGCGTCCTCCAGAAGCAGACTTCGCCATTGGGCGAAAACGGCAGCAGCGGCCCATTTACTGCAACTACAGCAATAACTAGTTATAACTATTCATATTCATATTTATAATTAAATACCATTGTATTTATAGAATATATATATATATTGATATATATTTTTAAATACAGAAGGTCATTGATTTTACACTTTCTTACTGCAGTGGCTAGCCCCGCCCACCCAGTGTAATTTTTCTGTTGACCCGCCCCCTCCGGCGCTAGCTCGGACCATTCCGCCCTTGGTGCCCACACAGTTCGGTCGTCAAGTCTCTCTCTCTTCGAAGTCCTCAGCTCAGCCACATCTACCGTAGTCAAGCGAGGGACCCACACCCAACTACAGTAGTCCAAGAGCAACCAAGACCTTTTATACCAACTCCAAGTACAGTACACCTAGACCAATCACATTCAAGTACCGTAATCCAAGAAAAACAGCCAATTTTCGTATCCTACCCAACAACAGTTTTGCAATCACACAAATTCCGCATTTTACACCGCTAAATTTTTCTCTGCCAGTAATCACACCTTTTCCAAATCAGTTATCAAATCGAAGCTTAGTCTCAGAAAACATGGAAGTTCCAAATGAGCATATGCAACAAAATCATATTCAACCAATTCCTGTGCAACAGCAAGCAGCTGCAGTTCGGCAATACGAAGCTTCTTTTATTGACCATTTAGACTCTGTTTTCGAAAAAAAGTTAACGCTTTCTACTTACTGTAACAAACTGCCAGTCTTTTCGGGAGATCTAGGAGATAAAGGATTCATGCATTTTCTTACACAGTTTTGCGAAATTTCTTCAATAATGGGTTTAAGTGATCGAAGGAAGGTTCGCCTTCTTCCAGCTCATTTGAAAGGCGTTGCAAAGGCTGTGTATGATAACATACCACCTGAAGAAAAATTAGTTTGCAATACTGTCACTCAGAAATTAAAATCTCATTTCGCAACGGAACAATTTTTGGATAATGCACGTGAAAGAATGATGGATATGAAAATGAATCCAGGAGAATCTCCCACTCTCTTTTCGAATAGACTTAGGCAACAGATTTTGGAAGCTTATCCAGATGATAGTGATGCAGTCACACGTGACTGGTTACTAAATACAATTTTTATGAAAGGCTTGCATAATCAAATTAAGCAAAAGCTTAAGCTATTAGGTCCACTTCCAAAAACATACAAGAAATTACTTGAAGAAGCTGAACGTATTTACAAACTAACGCAGTCTGAAACTTCATCTTTTACAAATGATTCGCTTATGGCTAAAATGGATCGAATATTGGACAATATAGAAATTTCTAAATCTGTGATCTTCTGTGAATATGGTCCACAGACCTTTTACCCGTAAGGATAGGAATAGTCATCCATACTCTCGTAATAGTCATCCATACTCTCGTAATAACTATACAACAACATCCACTGATTATGCGCGTGCTCGTTCTCCAAATTCCTTTTTCGGCAGTGTACCTAGACGAGATCGTAACGTTACATTTGCACCATTGCCAAATACAAATCGTTTTGACAGAACTCGTAGTAGATCACCATACAATCGTGAACGGTTAGTAGACCAGATAGCAATCAGCCTAGACCATCCAGTCGTAACCAAGCTAGGTCTAGAACACCGCCAAATTTTTCGAATAATAGGCAACGCGGAGAATCACCGAATATCTCTAATAATAGACCAAATAATCGTTTCCAACAAAGACGACCAGTTAATTCCATTTCTTCAAATTTGTTTACTGGAATTTTGAATTATCCTTATTCACTCTTTATAGCTGCAATACTTTCGATTCTTTTGCCAAATGTTTCTGCGATGACTTTACAAACTTACCAGCTCTGCTCAGCAGGAAAATCTGGTTGGCCTATAGCTTATCCAGAAACAACATCATGCACACACTCTCCTGACTCTTCTAGTATTATGATAACTACTGCGGAAATTTATGTAGAAGCACTGAACCATACCTTTGGCCAGCTTTTCATTGCTTTAATAAAACTAGGAAAATCTGCGCATCTTCATATCTTCATATATCTTTTTCACTTAACAGCGATGAAGAATATATGACTTCAATTGATCCCGCACTTTGCCACACGCTTAGCCAAACAAAGAAATTTCTTGGAAAACCAATGGAAACTCTATCTCCTAATGTTTACGGTTCACAAAATGCAATTCATTACTCATACCCTTGGTTTTTTGGTGAAAAATGCTCGTATACTACTAATGTTTACATGGAAAAATCTGATATTGCTACTTATGACAGTATTACTATAACTGGACAATTTGGAGATATGGCAAATTGTCGCATTAGTAATGGTCACTGTAATTCAACTCATGGTACAGTTATTTGGGACTATGACTACCAAAGACATCCACATAGATGTAAATATGTTAAAGCTACAGAAGGAGTGCTTACGTCACTCCAACTCATGTAGTTCTAGATAACATACAGTCAGCTTTTACTTACAAAAATATCACACTATCTTTTCTCCAAAGCTCACAGTGGTGTCTGCCCAATAAATCTATACCAATGGATAATGGTGTCTTCATTTCGCTTCCGGAGATACGAGACTATAATCCACGTACTATATTTTCTGAATATCCCGAAGTAGTCAAAGACATCAATGAAAAACATATTAACGCCTCAAAATTGCTTCTTTTGTTCAATGCAGTCTACCAAAGTAGAAACAATATCCTGAACTCTACTAGCAATAATCAAGAACTTTCGGATGAAGAGCATGTTGAATTGCTGAAATCAATGTATGACATTTTCGATACACTCAATACAGCTAAGAGACCTCATTTTAAAGTTTCTCTGAAAAGACCTGCTAGAGGACTTTCAAATAAATACAACCAAAAACGGCTATCTCATCTTCTATTCCGAGATGAACATCAGGTTCTAAGCAAGTACAAAAAGTAATTCTTCTGCCATAGCTAAGCACATAGCTATCAATACTGAACCTGATTTCACTATACTTAACAATGATCTTAGTTTATCTCATGAACAACGGCAAGATCAACGCCATTATGAATTAAACATAAAAATGCAGTTTTTGAAAATAAAGCTAGAGGAAGTTATTAATCACAATTACAACTTTCTTTTTAATCGTATTTGTGCACTCTCAAATTTTAAAATCAAGCAATACGTAGCATTGCTGAGATAAACCCTACTAGCGCAGCTCGTATTTTACTCAATAGGAATGATATTTTTGCATTACCGGCGGGAGATGTACTTATGATTTCAAAATGCCAGCAAGTTATCGTTGATGAAGTATATCTAAATCATAATGTTAATGGTATCTGTTACGTTCATACACCAGTTCGTATAGGAAAATCAATTTATTTTGCCAACCCAGGAACTAGAGATTTAACAACATCTAGTCCTGAAGCGAACGGTGGTCATCTTCCTTTTGGAATATATAACGATGGCACAAACCATTATAAATCTCCCACAGGATATGCACATGTATCACAAATCCATATCAATCTTCCGCAAGATATTACTACGCAAGATCTTGTTTTCAACTCGCCTCCCATATTCCATTCTGATCTAGCGCGTATTACTACGGACATTCGATTTCTTAAGAATAGACTTGCTAATGTTGACGTCCCCCTTACGAATCAGGAACATTCATCAGTACCGTCTCCTGATTCTGAAGATTTTGAGAAAGATACTGTAGAAACTATTTCGTATATAGAATCCAAAGCGTCAGATATTTTACGCTCATATCTATGTTATTGGTTGTTTTATATTGTCAATTTGCGATAGCTCGCGTTGCTATGAGAACAACATTTCAATTTTTAACCATACCTTTTTCAAACCTTTTTGAACTCTGTAAAACGAAGCCAGAACCTACGGCACCACAGCAACCGTCCCCTCCTAGGGCGATACTTCGTGCTTTTAGACGTAATCAACTTATAAAATATTCCGCTAACGATGAAACAGTAGAAACAGACATTGCCTACCCAGCTTTAGACGAGGTATGTATAGAAACTCCGGAAACGCAACCGTCTTCTACTCGTAAAACAATTAAACCACCAATGAATCTCAACATACCCAAATTTACACCTATTGTTTCTTCTGTTCAATACCATGCAATGTCTACCATCTTTATTCCGGAACAATTGAACCAACTATCCACCGTAGCACTTTTTGATACAGGATCAGCCATCACAATTATATCAGAGCAAATGGCTAACCTTTCAAAATTAATTATTACTACTACCACTTTATCGGAAGGCATTACTGCTAATGGAACTCCGATTAAATTTATTGGACAAATTTCACAAAACTTACTATTGTAGACAAAATAATCCCAATCACCGCCTATGTAGTTTTAGACAATCATTGTTTCTGTTAGGTAACGACTCTATCACGAAATTTGGTAACAAAGTTTCTATCAATTATTGTAAGAAAACGGTATCTTTCGACGACACAACAGTACAAATCATTATTCCAGACAATCCAGAATCAAGTAGTTATAAAACGCCCGTATTTCTTGCTGACGACTTAACTTTAAATCCTAATTCTGATAATGTCGTCTTAGGAAAATCACATACGATTTTTCCAAGCAAATGGGAATTTTTAGTGTATGACGATTTTTCACTAGCTTTACCATTTGGTCTAGCTATCGGGAAAACTCTTTCTTGCACAAATAACAATGATCAAGTTGTATTACGTATTTTCAACACAAATCCCTCTTCTTTATCACTTCAGAAAAACAGAATCATTGCTAAAGCAAATTATGTAGGAAAAAATATGACATGGCCGCCGATATTTTCTGTAGATCCAATAATACGTTCCT